TCTTCTGCTGATGTGGCCAGGGACTGTAAAAGTCATCAAGATACTCTCAAACTGAGTCCCCAAAGGACAAGGTGGGGCCACAACTTCCCACTTTCATCCTGTCCTTGCCTTATAAGTGTTTTAAGAAATTTGGAGTGTGCAAAAAATATCCTTTTCTGGAGGATTAAGTCACTGGTATTTTGGGACCCTTTGTTATTGCAGAATAAGCTTACCTCTCCTAATAAATTCCTCAAAATAATTTAAAAATTGACTAATTCATGTCTTTTAAGTTGATATATAAAAGGTTTCATCCTAACTGGAAAATGTAGTTTCTAGTATTTTGTCAGTATTGATGTTTTAATTTTAAATTGTTTCATCACTCTTTGTATTCATGGACTCCAAACATCATAGCAACTTGATACTTACCATCATTTATCTCAAAAAAAAAAATACAAGAACCAGCACTTCTTTAAAGACTTCTTATGTGTTTCCTCCATTTTACTGACCCATACTTTCATATTACTTGCTGCAGGGAACTATAAGTAAAATACATTTTAAAACTTTATATTATTGATAATGTGCCATGCTTTTCTATGACAAATTATTCACATAAAATGAAATGTCTTAAAATACATGACTATATATTTTAGGGATTTAGTTATTTTTATTATCACTAATATAGAAATGATCAAAACAGCTCAACTCTAATATTTGGACAAATTTGCATTAAAAACAAAAGTAACATTTCATGGAAATACATCACAAAATGAGAGTAGTGGGGTTTTTAAATGTTCCAATAGCTCAAATATCAATGTATAAATATGGCTTACTCCTGGAATTTCAAAATACTCAGCATCAACTTTATTTCTGTTCTCCTTTTAATGTAAATGCTTAAGAAATTGTTCAGTAAATAAGAACGTGGGGGTTAAAGTAATCTTGTTACAGCAGTATCATTGAACTCTTTGTTTTCTAGTTATATGCCACAAATTTACCATTGAAAATGGTTTTGAATGATTTTTCATTTGACAACTCAATTATGCCTCCTTTCATTTCTTAAAAATACAAATAATAGGAATTCATCAAAGTCGTGCAAGAATGAGTTAACCCAAATCCCTTAGAAAATTCTCTCCATATTGCAGGAAAATATATTCACACTATTTTGGTGAATGCTGTGCCAGGCAATTACATCCTTGGAAAGATGCCCTTACAAAAGGTCATTGCCTAGATTGGACTTTGAGGGGCAGTGGCACCTGGTAAATGTGAGGGTGAAAGCCTGATGGGAAAATCTCTGCTGAGACTCACTTCTGCCCCACCTGATTTATAGAAGGCACAGTCTCCCTGTAGGAACACTGGTGTGGACAAAGGCTTTGAGAAGCACTCATTTTTTAGTCTTTGGTCAAATCTCTGTTCCAGGGTGATGAGTGGTTACCTTTTCTCCTCACTAGTCTCTCTGACAGCATTGATGACCTGAACTCACCTGTACTTTAACTACACGAACACATGCTTTTGGTGCTGAGCTCACAAACTCTGCTTTCCATTAACTGGTTGTCTCCACCAAGAACTCAAACCAGACAGACATTCTCTCAAACTTACTACATTAAGCTGTTTGTTTATTGATCTTAGGTCCTTGCAATTCCCTGCCGTTGTCCTTCTTTCTTTCCCCCCACTAGCCTTTCCTTCTTTCAGGCTGATGTTTCTTACCTAACAGTTGGAATGGTTTTGTAATCCATAGCATCTTATTGAGTGTAATCTTCTTCCAATAAATTTCTCAACTGTCTCCAAGATTATACTACTAAATGCATATTGAATCATGTCACTCCACTCTTTAAAATCTTTGAAGAACTTCTTGCTATCTCTTTCACCAAAAAAAAGCATTCACATTATCTGATAAGACCACCTCAAAATGCATCTCCATTTCTCATCTCTTTTTCCTGACGTTTGACATCCCCCAATGTTCCACCCTCCTGTTCTGTTTTCTTAGAGCAACTTCCCCATAAAAGTTCTTTCACTAAAAAATAACCTCAAAATTTATCTTAAATTTCCTCTTTAGGGATTCGTCTCTGCCCGCCCACTATTCCTGTACTTCAGTGCAGCGTATGCATCCTTCCTAGAAATGTCCACATCACTCAGTAGTCAACTGGACCATGGCATAGGCACTTATTATGATGTTTTTCTTTCTATCAGACTGTGAGCTTTTGAGAGAGAGAACAGAAGTTCTTATCATTTTTTTAGTGATAAAAGAATACTTGGCTCATGTGGAGTGTTGGAAAGAGTAAAAGAATTAATAAAACAGACTTGTAGATGTAGTGCCCTCACATGTCCTATATACCAAGTTTGAGTATATTTTACAAAACATGATTATTTGAAGCAATTCTGTATGCTTTTGCAGTTGAATTCTACCAATGCACACTATGAAATTTTTTGTTATTCCATCAAGTAACTTTTAGTAAAATGAGAGTTAAATTGCTACCCTTCTCTGTGCTTTTCAAACTACAGACCCGCTGATAAAAAAGGGAAGTCCTGAAAACCCATTTTCATGTCACAAGTGTTGTGCGAGAACTTAGGTGGAAGGGGATGAGAAGCAAGCAAAAGGCAGAGGGAGAAAGAGAGAGAGAATGTGAATGTATATCCGCTTTAGGGCTTTTGTGCTTTCAACAGGAAATTGGTGTTCCCAGTCCTCTGTGCCGAGTAGCAGAGAAAATGCTGAACTCAATTCAATGGCTACCTTTGCACATGATCCCACAGTCTTAACAGAAAACTCTAGAGAAAGCCACTCTGTTAAGGGTGAATTTCTCATATGCAGAGATGCCGGAACTTACAACTAAGTAGACACATAACAAAACAAGCATTAAATCGCTTCAAGACGTAACTTTACGTATTATGTTTATGAACTGAAGGAAGCTATGAAACATTCCCAGTGCTGTTGATTTTGGTCATTTTATTGCAGGCTTGAAAGTCCTTTAAAGACACATAAATTTTTCTATGACTATCTTGGAGCCTTCAAAACAATTTGTTTATTTTGCGTGCTCTCTCCTGGCCACAGCAATACGTTCCAAGTTTGAGGCACTGTTCTTTTCTGAGTCTCTGGCACACAGGTCTTATGGTGACTGTAGGGGAGGCTTGAGATCTGTGTGCAGATGTAACATTTACACCTCAGCGTATCTATTTTTGCCAGCTGCATTTTCACTGAAATGTGAGGACCCAGCAATACTAAAGTAAGAGATTTAAATATCATCATAATTATAATTCTCTGCTTGCTCAAGAGAATTATCTAAATTTTGGACTTACTTGAATCAAACTTTAAATTGTCCTGTACCATCACATTTTTCAAAAGGAAATCACCATCTATGCCTGAAGTTAAATATCTAGGATTATAGATAACATAGCATTAGGATAAAGGGTTTCTAAAGCATCATTATATTGGAACAGGAGCTAGGAACAGACGAGGTACTTTTTGTTTTCTTAGTAGTTCTGTATCTCTTTGGACCCTGCTCCTATCAGTTGCATTGGTCTGAGTGTATCCTATATTGCTGGGTTGGTTAATAAATGATTTTGTTGTTCTTAGCATCTTATCTTGTCCAAATGTTGCTAAGATAGACTGAGGATGTGCTTTAAAATTTGTATCTTCTTAGAGAAGAAAAACAGTGTCAGTGCCAGAATAAGCTGGGAGCGATCACCCGGAAATTAGATTTTCTGTAAGGCTCTGATGAGCTCATCAAATATTTAGCGGGTCCTCCACGGATGATCGTATCGAGGGATATGCCGCGCTCAGCACTCAGGCTGTGGTGATTAGGATGAAACTCAAGACCCGCTCTCCCATTTACTGCTGGTGTGAGTAGGTTTTTTGTCCTTTCGTTGAGAAAACGTTATTTAACAAATAACTATGTCTTCTGTATCTCCGTGCCCATAGTAAGAGTCAAGTGCTGGCATTCTCTGTTTTAAATTGCTGTCTCCTAGAAAAGGATGCTCAACTTGGGCCACGCTGATCCCTCTCTGGCCGCCGCAGCCGTGCACTTGAATAGATGGTTAGGTCTGTGGGCGAACAGCATCGCACCCCCTGTTCCGAGGGAAGCACTGTCATTGCAACAAGTTAGTTTGCTCTTCATTTCCCCCCAGTGACGGGGTCCCCTATTCTTACCCCCCAAGGGAATGAATGGGCCTCAGAATAGGTCACCTCAAAACATGCCACCCTGGCATTAGGATTATTTTGAGCCAAAGGTAATCGAGAAAACACAAAGGAGGAATGATCTCTCTGACCTCCCTCCATCTGCCCCGTAGCAAACTGTCACCCAGATTCCCCTTGTGAGCATGTCCCCTCCTCTGTACCGGGGGCGGATAACAGTCCTGTCACTGGAGATGCCGGGCACTGAGAAGTGTCTGCGCCGTCAGACCTTACCGGCTAGTCCTCACCTTCCTTTCGTGTCCCCCATACACTTACCTTCCCACAGTTTGCGCTCCTGAAAGCCTCAACCCCTTTTCCTGTGTCTTGTCACTTTCCTATGAATTTATTGCTTTTCATTGACGAGCTCTCAGTCCCAAGTTGCCCCTCTGAGTTGCTATCACTGGGTTTCTCCTTTGTGTCTGTGTGGTGCACCTGTTACTGAACTCTTTCTTGTTAATCTGTTTTATCAGCCTAATTTGCAGAGCCCCAGGTGCAGAACCTCAGGGAGTGGAAGAGAAAGGTCTTTCCCCTTCCTAAAGAACCAATGGGGAAATTATGGAATATAATTAAAATATTTTCTTGAACGTATGAATAGCTGGCCAAATAAACAATGTGAATTTTGAAGGAAGGTGGTGCTTCATCATCTCCATAAACAAAGCTTAGGAAACTTAGGAAATTTAGGACTACTGTACACTAAGGGTGTAAGATGTGTAGCCCCATGAGGAATGCCTCTGTGACTGGAATTTGAAACTATAGGAATCCAGTACTTTTTCATCCCTAGATGGCAACTATCTAGATCATCTCTTTAAAAGGGATGACTGTACTGCCTGGTCACCATTGTCAACTGGCTCCTAGGGCTGGGGATGTGGCTCAGTGGTAGAGCATATGCTTTGCATGCATGAAGCCCCAGGTTCAATTCCTGGCATCTCCACAACCCTTTTGTAGCTGTTTAAGCTCTTATGAGCATTTGTTAAATATTATGAGTGTCTTCACAGTGGAGCATGTGACCAGGGCTGCATATTAACAAACTGCAGATGACATCTCACTATGCTGAAAGAATGATTTGAAAAGCTAGTAATGTGATGATCATCTTTCCTTTCAATATTAATAATTTTTTTATTCAAAATAAAAACCTAGCTTTCCCAAATCTTTTCTATTTGATTCATTTACATTACACCTGTCATCCTATTTCTTTAAATAAAACCATATAAATTGCCAGATAGAAACTTACCTGCTCTGCCATGGTCATGGTCCACTTAAACAATAAAAATGCAGCAAATATGCTTATAGCACCCCTTATTTCTATAATACATTATATTAATATGTAAAAATTACATGTAAAATATAAATTACATAATTTTATAATATTTTATCATACATACTGTATCCTTTTAGGAGTCACACAAAGTTACATAAGATAACAGTGCCAGGCCTGCCTCATAAGCATCACACACTTTAATGCCATGTCCTAGAATCCTAGACAGTTACAGAATTTAAAGCTGCAGTGGAACCTGTGGAAGTAAACTGGACTGGTTGAGATCAAGCATTTTATAGTTACCTTTGCTGTACAATTTTGATCTCCACACATAAAGATGTGTAGAGTCAGAGGTTCTAAAATAGCTCCTGTCTGTCTTTGGTGGAGAGGATCTTGAGTCAGCCTTCGGGTGACCCGGCCAGTGAAACCTAGAGACCTTGGGCGTGTCTGCACAGGGAACTGAACACAGTGGATTTCTGCCTGCAGAGGAAGATCCTACCCACAATTATACAGATGTGTGTATTTATTTTTTATTCTCTACTATGAAGTGTTATTTTATCTTGAAGACTGTTATATCTTTTTCTGGGGAACCTTAGTGCCATGAATTCAGGTTTGTACGATAGAACGACAGAACAAAGAGATGTCTTTGGAGAGGCCTCTTTTTCTGCCTTATGGATCTATTTATTTGGTTGTACGCTTTCATCCTAACATGTGTCAAGTTGTATTTACCACTTTAATGTGAACAGAATTAAGATAACTCCCATGATGCCAGCCAGGCTTTTGTCTCGAGTGATGTTTGGCGTGAGCGAGGCTGCCGTTTCCCCGGTGCTGAACATCGCCCTAAAGTTGGCAGTGATTTTCTTTACTTGTTTGCATTATGAATAAAACCTGGGGATCAATTATCAACAATTTGCTGGGATAAATCTAAGACCTTCAGATCAAAGACATTTTTAATTATGTAATACAAGGTTGTACATGGATTCATATTTCGGAGGAAAATTAAAAACCCCCTTAACTTATTCACAATCTTTGAGAAGCCATTAAACCTGAGAAGAGAGCTAAGTAGTTTCTCTAATTCTAACATATATTACACATTTTATTGCTTCATTTGAAATAGTATCTCTTCTTGGTGTGCTCTCAAGTCAAAGCTCCTCTTCTTTGTACCCTAGGATGTTTAGAAAGGGGGCAAGGAAGGTCACACGCACAGGCTTGACCCCTGTCACTACCTGCCCAAAGCTGTGTGACAATCCCCACATTTTCTTGACAGCCTAAACTATACCCATCTTTTTCTTTAAGCACTTAAGTGTGACTAAACTGTCAAGCTCTTGAACTGAAGTCAAATACCATTTCATTTTTTATATATTCTTGAAAATGAGAGAACTGTCATAGAAGTAAAACCAGATACCATAAAAAAATAAATAAGTATTAGATGTTTTCTATGCCATGGAAGACTCAAGAGAGGAAAATAAAATCATACAACAACTAGGAACAGTGATAGCTACGGAGTTTGCTCTGTATCAGGTGATGCTTATAAGCTTCACTAATATTATCTCTGGGATTCTTTACACCGAGCTCATGAGATAGGCAGAATTTAGGTCCCACTTGAAAACTGAGGAAACTGTTGAAATGGGGTGCTGACCAATCACTTCAGGTCTTTGGTCCAGCAAGGAGAGCAGCGTGAGTCAGTCTGGCCCCAACTCTGAATGATTTTTATAGTGTTGAGAAATAAATTTGCCTGTATGGGTCTCAATTCCTTTGCTCAGAGGAGGTAGTGTTTCTGCCAGAGCAGAAAGAGTCTGGCCTTTCTTGCCGGTTGGATTCTAAACCCAGGATTCCAACTAGATGTCTGGGTGGGTCTCATGGCCACAGTGACCCTCAGTAATTTTATTTCACAAAAAATGTAGATAATAATACTTCCATACATTTAGGGGGATTTGAAAATTTAATGTATTTCGCATGCCTTGCAGCATTTCCGATACATTGACACTCAGAGTTCCTACCCTTTCCCTCCATCAAGTAACAGAAAGATGATATGCAAGAAGGTCGTAACTCTAAGACAGTGATTCTAAAACAGGCCTATTTCTTGGAGAACTAAGGAGTGTAACTGATGAAAAAAAAATTTAAGTACATGGAAATGGAAATGAGTCCAAAGTCATTGTGTATTAAATTAGGAAAAGATTATAATAGAATTATTCAAATTGGATTCAGAGTATGGTAACAGTGCTTGGAGCTTGAAGAAGATAAAGAACTGAGAGACGGGAGAAATGTGGGAATGTTCAGGGAGCCAGGAAACAAGGCAGGTATTGGAGGCTGAACAGCCTTTTAAAGAGGCAGGAAAGTGCTCCCCATTCTTGATGTGACACGTGCTGAGGGAGCCAGACGGCATGAGACATTAAGGGATGGGTGCTTCTCCGTTTGATAGGAGCAGAGAGTTAATAACAATGCAGTCAGGAAGCCTGAACTTGCAATCAAAGCTGGGAGGCCTGTAAAATTCTAAGGAATTTGCTCCTCATCCTGGTGATAAAGGGTGTCAACCACTCAAGGTTAGACTTCATTGCCGGTTGCTTTTTTTTCATTTCCTTTTCACCCCTTGATTCCCATCACATTAAGCTCAGAATCGCTCTCCCCTGCCCGCATAACTAGGTGCACCTCCCCCAGCTTCCTTCTATCAAAATCACACGCAGCTGTACATCTCGGTTTTGTCTCCTCTCCTGACTCTGAGCTCCTCAAGAAGAGTAATAATATCTTAATCACATTTGTGTTATTTTATAATAAACTTTACATTTACAGTAGTTCTAGATTTATAGAAAAATTGAGAAGATCATACAGGGTATCTGTGTACTTCTGCACAGCTTTCCTTATTGACATTGTACATCAGTAAGGTGTGTTATTAAAGTTAATGAACTGATACATAATTAACTAAGTCCACAGCTTATTCAGCTTATCCTAGTTTTTACCTAACACCCTGTCTCTATTCCAGGATAGCATCCAGGATACAGCATTACATTTAGTTGTCCTCTTTTCTTAACTTCTTCTTTAGAATAACTCTTTCTGGGACTCCTTGTTTTTGATGACCTTGACAGTTTTGAGGTCAGGTATAGATCCGGGGTGGTAAATTGTAAGATATCCCTGTGTTGGAATTAGTCTTATGTTTGTCTGAGGTGTAAGCTTCTGTTATGCATTTTAGGAAAGGAAAGGAGAGGTAAAGTGTTATTTTCATTACATCATATCAAGTCTCTGTCCTGTCAAAATACCTTATCTTTCTTAATTTTGACTTGATGGCCTGGCTGTAGTTTTCCAAGTTCACATACTGTGTGGTCCCCTCCCTCCATACTGCACTGCGCTCTTTGGAAGGAAATCACTGTGTGTGTGTAGCCCACACTTAACGGCAGGAAGGTAGGCTTCTCCTTCTGTCAGGTAAACAACCAATATTCATTATTTTGAATTCTTTGATATGGGAATTCTCCAGCATTTATTAATGTATTTGATCATTTATTACTTATTTGTCAGTAAGTACTGATGGATAGTTGTTTTATATTTCGGGTTAAAACCTGATGCTACTTTCTTGATTTTCTTGCTCCACTTGGTTGTGTTTTGACTATGGGGAGCTCTTTCGCTGGGCTCCTGTGTCCCTTTGACACAATGTGATGTGTTGACACAAATGTGTATTTGTGAGTGTTCAGCACTTGCTTACTTTCTGATACTATGAGATGTTGCAGGCTCATTTTGTAGATTTCCTGTCTCAATCCTGGAATCAGCCACTTCTCTAAGGAGCCCTGGTTCCTCTATTTTGAGGAATGGTCTCAGAAACCAATATCTGGGAGTTGGGTGTGCTTATTGGTAGTGAGGCATCATTTCTCTGAGGTCATCTGGCCTGACTGAGCAAGAAATTATATGTATGGACCCTGACCTATATATATGTGTACGTATATATGTATATACTATATATATATGTATGTATATACTATATACTGTATGTATGTATATGTATGTAACTAAATATATAGATATTCATAATATCTGTACTGATTCCCACATGTACCCATCTGTATCCATACTGAGTGAAATGAGTTCATACTAATGTCTCACTCTAATGCATCACTACCTGGGTGATTCCTGCTTTCCCACCTTGCTTAGCTATAAAGTCCTCCAACAGTAAGACGTGTGGTTCCCAAGATCTACCATGTATTTACTTACATGTTCAGGACCAGTTGTCATAGCTGCATCAGAATTGTTAACCTGTATCCCGCCCCCCCACCGAAACAGCTTTATCAACTAGAAAACTGCTCAGGTGCAGCTCATGTTGCCTTTAGCCTTCCCGGTTCCACCTGCTGCCAAAGCTCCTAAGCGGAGCGCCTTTCCCCGGCCCCTTGCACGAGAGTCTCATGCATTTGTAATACAGTTAGAATCTCTTGTCACAGTGGGAATTCCTTCCTCAGGTGTCCTAACTTCCTAATGATTTTCTGATTTTCATACTTTTTGCTGTGAAGTTCTGCAGGGTTTGGCAAATGTATAACATCATTTATCTCTTATCACAGTATCATACAGCGTAGTATCAATTCCCTAAAAACCTCCTGTGCTCCACCTATTCTTCCTCCCCATTTCTCCACAGACTCCTGGTAACCAGTGATCTCTGTATAGTCTCCATGATTTTTGCCTTTTATATGTTGCCGTAT